TGGCAGCCGTGAGTTCTTCACAAGACAGACACATATTGGTTGCTTATTGTATGTGGATCATCATAAAAGTTGTGGTGTTTACAACATCCTTCCTAAAATGATACGTATAAATAATGTCCACTGTAGGATGTTACATTGAATTCTAATTTTTAAAAAATTATTATCGTATAAAATCAAATCCTGATCATTAACTTCATGATCTGAAGAGGAAATATAAACATAATATCTTATTTAAATTGCGACGGGTATACAGCAATCGGATGGCATGCTAATTTAAAAACACTGTTAAATTTGTCCACTTAGTGTTATAGCATAAGTGAGATAAAATATTAAAATTAAAATATAGAATAAATTTCCATTTTTTATATGGTGATATATTTTTGACAGAAGTCTCTATGCTCACCAGTAAAGATAGTAATACTGTTAAATTATGTAAGCAATAAGGTACGAGAGGCTGTCCTGTGTCGTGTATACAGCACTTACCTCGAGTACCTTGTTGCTTTTTATAAAACGGTTACCACACAAAAAAAAATATTCAAATAAAAAATATGTATTAGTGCAACTCTCATGAAGTAAAACCTGAAAGCTTTCCTTCCGCTAGAAAAAAAAATAGTCCCTGACCATGAACGGCAACAACGTTCCAATGTGTGATATGCCTGAAATAAAATAAAAACAACATAGCGAGGGTATGCAACCACAGGCATACTTACATGAATGAATATTTAAGTAAAAAATGTATGGCATATATTAACACAATGACAATGTTCTAAACATTTTCAAAAAAGTCAAATATGTCAGACACACCTTTTTGTTGCTTTATTCAAACAGTTTGATCTCAAATAGGTATTTTTGACACTATTGGATAGAGTTCATCGAGACCTTTATTTTGATATAAATAACTCGTATTCGCCCAAAATGCCACTCTGGCTCCAAATCCTCGGGGAACTGCAGTGATTAATAGAACCGTTGGGTGAAGCAGTCATAGCCGTGTTTTATCGTGAATAAAGCACAGCTATTGACCAATCAGAATCAAGGATTGGAACTAACCGTTTTATAATACCATTTAAAATAATTGTTCGTTGCAATTCATTCCTGTGATCAAAGCTGAATTTTCAGCATCATCACTCGGTCTTCAGTGTCATGTGATTCTTCAGAAATCATTCAAATATGTTGATCAAGACTTTTTTGAGAACAATTATGCCGCTTAATGTATTTGTGGAAACAGTGGTACATTTTTTTAAACATTCTTTGATATAAAGTTCAAAAGAACAGTATTAGAAAAAATACATATCTTTACTGTCACTTTTGAACAATTTAATTGAATCCATATAGCCTTCTTTGAAGTCAATAGGGATTTGCCTGAAGCATTAAGGTTTTAAGGTTTTCTTAAATTAAAATAAAATTGTATAATAATTTGTTTTCTTTGCTTGTATTTCAGGCAGCTGGCGAGATCTCCTGTGGGAACCCGGCGCTTCCCACCCCTTCTCTATCTCTCCTTCCATCCTCCTATCCCACCACAGCACAGCCGGGAGTCTTACCAAGCTTTGTCCCCCTGCATGCTCTCCCGTTCCCTGGACTGAGCCCTGGCACCAAGATCCCTGGACCGCCTCAGGCCTGTAAAGGAGCTGTTTTTCCTGGCCCAGTTCCTGGAACTTTCCAGCATGGTCTCGCACATGGTGAGCAGATATTGATCCTGAACATAAGCATGGAAACTTGGTAAGAGTCATCTCTGTTTATTTAAAGGTGAAGTGTGTGATTTATGCTCCAATTGCTGCACCAAATGGAATGATTCCAAACAGGTTCTTAAACGCTTGCGTGCTACTCTTAATATTTATATGATGCACATTCAACTTGATCTTCCCATTTCCCAAAACCATTTCAAAAATGACACACTTCACCTTTCACAGGGGCTTGATACATTTGTGATATCTGTTACATTACACCAAAGGTTTGGTACTCTTGTCTTCATGTGCATTGGATGGAGTGGATGAGCTGAAGCTCGACTCTGGTGTGATGTTGTTTAAAGCTCCATTGCTGTAATGTTGCATTTGTCATCCTGGGGCCTCATTTATAACCATTGCGCACTCACAAAACAGGCCCCGAAAGAGGCGTACGCCACTTCCGACGCATAAGTTGTGATTTTTAAAAACAAACTTGACAGGAATATGTGCGCACCTGCACGCAAACTCTGACCATGCGTACGAACATTTTGGAGATGGAGTAGTTTGGCGACACTTTTGATGAGCTCGAGGTAAATGTCTTTTTGGTCACTTTTAGGTAGAAAATCTAAAGAAAATTTTACATCTACAGAAAGATAATACAAATATAAGTTCACTCACCAAACCTATCTCTTGAAGCAAATATTCATCCCTTCTGAAATATCCGCGCCATCGAGAGTGTTGTGTCGTTTAGGGAAACTGACGCAGATGAAGTAAAACCACAAATCTTCATTGTGAGTCCATCATAAATACAGTGCATGTTTGATTGTATTTATTATGTTTTACTTCTGATATAAACATTTAGATTAAATATGCCTTTCTCATTAATGGTGTTAAGCACTTAAACTACATGAAATCATTACTGAGAAGTTGCAACATTTTTATATTCAATGAATATAAATATTTGTTGTGGATGTGATGCTTTTGAACACTTTTCCTCTGGCATGCTGTGTGTGTTTTAATGTGTTAAATACATAGATAATTGCTTATCATGATAGCAGATTGTCTGAGGAAATGGCTTCGTGCAAATAATGCACAACAAGATCTGTTTCCATTAAAAATATAAATCAATTAAAATACTATTTGGCCAGTGGAAAAGATTGAGAAAAACTTTCTCTGAAATGCATTTTGCACTCATTTATTTTTATTTATTTAAAAAACAAGGGAAGGATGGGCTTCTAAATGATTTTTATTAATGTTATGTGACTGCACATCCATATTTCATATTTTCCTAATGTCTTGTACCATTAAACATGTTATCATGTGGATGAACAATCGTATGCAAATGATATGCAGATGAGGATATGCATAGTCAAACTAGGCGTTGCAATCTCCATATATGGTTATTTCGGGGAGGAGACGCATGTGCGCACAATCTTCCGCTGACTGGGATTTATAAAGTGAATTCTGCGCAGGTTCTGGCATATATAAGTCTGAATATTTTTTTTGCGTAAGACATTTTTGGCTTTCGGGCGCACATACACCTTTAGGAATAATTCTACGCGCGGTTTTATAAATGAGGCCCCTGGTGTTTTCTTCTTCCTCTTCCTCTCTTTCCTATTTCAGGTAACTCCATGCTGTGCTCTAGCACGCTTCATCTTCTGTCTGTCCCTGTTTCCTCTTCTGCTCCTCTTCATTCTTTTACACCATGGCTCTTTGGTTTAGGTAAATTTACACACCTTTAGAAAAGCCCATAGGGACAGTTGAAACATGCCCACATTATTTATTGCGTTCGTCTTGATGTTTGCTTGCATTATAAATCTTTTTTTTTCCACCTGTTTTTCTGTAGCATACTATTATAACTTTTTTAATTAATTTGACATTTACGCAGCAATGTTTTAGTCTGTTTTAGTTCAAAGGATCTCCAGTTATTAATATAGTAATAAAAAATAATTGTTGTTGTTGACATTTTCTTGACATAATAAGAAACCATTTTCTTCAACCAATTTCTTCGACATCATACACTAGACTCCGTGATGTCAGTCTTATAGTTGTGTAATGTTTTAAAGTCAACATGAAACCAACATTGACTCTATTTACTGTAATTAATGTTCCTGGTCTTATTGTGCTGGATTCATTTTCAAAAACTGATAAATTCAATTAATGAAATGAAGTCCCACCATCTTTTAAAGGAGTAGTTCACTTTTTAAAAAACTTTTGCTGATAATTTACTGATAAAAGACTTTCTTCAGTCAAAAAGATTTAAGGAATTAAGGTTTTTGATGAAAACATTACAATATTTTTCTCCATATAATTTCTCTGAACCCTTTCCCGAGTCATCTTGTTCATTTCGTTTGTTGGATGAACCAAATGACACGAAAAAAGATTTGTTCATTTTGATAAATGAATTAGAACACGAGAGTCACGAACGTGGATCACAGAACAGAGTAAGGTGAGCATTTGAGCTTATAAAACTTAAACTTTGTTATTTTTTTAAATGAGTGATCGTTTCGCTTGATCAGACCATTATTCATCGTCTGGAATCGTTTAAAGCCCTTTGAAGCTGCACTGAAACTGACTTCTGGACCTTGAACCGTTTGGTTCCCATTGAGGTCCCTTATATGGAGAAAAATCTTGAAATGTTTTCATCAAAAACCTTAATTTCTTTTCGACTGAAGAAAGAATGACATGGACCTCTTGGATGACATGGGGGTGAGTAAATTATCAGCAAAAGTTTTTTAAAAAGTGAACTACTCCTTTAAATCAGTAGATGTTCTTTTACATGGAAATATGTCAAATTATTGATTTGTAAAATGGGTCATGTGTGCCATTTCATGTTGATTGCTGTTTACATTTTGTTTTTGACACAGATGGAAGCCAGATCCACACAGATGGTCATAACACTCAGAGAAAACTACATTAATAGCCATTAGAACGAGATTAAAGACGGCTGATACATACAGCAAATTTTCCACTTTTTGTAAGATCTTGAAGATGGAGTTAATATGACTGAACATGGATAAGAATTCGAATTAAAGAAGCAGATTATGGCTCGGCAAAGAGACTTTTCATTTGTATATTTTTGAATCAAAACTCCTTTGAAGTAAAAATGCCTTTATCCATAATGGACATATGGACAATAATGGAAGTCTTTTGTTTCTCAGAGTATTACGATTAGAACTTGAATGATATGACAAGCCATGTCACCTCAGTGCAGTCCTATGCACTTGTAATGCACTTACTTTAAAAACTTGAAGGCAAATACTACTTATCTATTCATAGCTTTGCAACTGTCATGTCTCTCTCTCAGAGGCCGTCTTATCAGTGAAGATTCACAATCCTGACCTATTTATGAAAAGTAACTGGAACTATAGTAAATTACATGTGGTGTAGGTTATCACTATTATTTTCAAGTACATGTGTGCAATGAAAAGTAAATGAACTCATCTGTTTTACCTTAATCTGTTGTTAAAGGCAGAGACTGCACTTTTTCTTGTTGTTGGACTGGGTAATGAATTGATGCCAGTGGAATGATCTCAGGGCTGTTTAAGTACAATAGCCAAGTTATGGAGTAATGCTGCAAAATATGTAGATATTTGCTTTTGTTTTTGAACTTACTGAAAATTACTTTGGAAAAAGAAATTGAATCATGATTCATTGAATGGAAAAATAAAGTGTCCTAAAACAATCTATTGTTGATATTTTATTGTTGAAGAGAAAAACAGATTTTTCACCAAGACTTGTTTCATATTGTCAAGCCTCATTTCATGTCTTTGCAAAGTTGAAATGGAACAAAATGAAGAGTGCTGTTGTTTAATTACCTCTACGATATCTATATGTGGTCTTGACCTCTGTTGAAGAAATGTGAAACACTGAAGAACTTAACTAAGGTTTAGTGCCGGCTTAAAAAGCCCTGTCTCATGGCCCTCTATCAGAACCCAGAGTTTCAAGAAGATTGAAGAAACTTATTTTTTCGCACCAAAAAAAAACGACAGGGGTAACACTGTCGTTTTTTTTTTTGGGTCGAATTTTTGAGTTTCTCTGATCTTCTTGAAACTCTGGATTCTGATAGAGGGCCATGAGACTTAGACCTGAGTGCAAAAATGGAGGCTCTAGACCCTTCCAGAGCTGAGATATCAAAACTCAAAAATTCGACCCAAAAAAAAACGACAGTGGTACCCCTTTCGTTTTTTTTTTTTTTGGGCGAAAAATGAAGTTTCTCCAATCTTCTCAAAACTCTGGATTATGATAGAGGGCCATGAGACTTAGACCTGAGTGCAAAAATGGAGGCTCTAGACCCTTCCAGAGCTGAGATATCGAAACTCAAAATTCGACCAAAAAAAAAAAACGACAGTGGTACCCCTTACGTTTTTTTTTTTTGGGGGAAAAATGAAGTTTCTCCAATCTTCTCAAAACTCTGGATTCTGATAGAGGGCCATGAGACTTAGACCTGAGTGCAAAAATGGAGGCTCTAGACCCTTCCAGAGCTGAGATATCGAAACTCAAAATTTCGACCCAAAAAAAAAGACAGTGTTACCCCTTTCGTTTTTTTTTTTTTTCGGGCGAAAAATGAAGTTTCTCCAATCTTCTCAAAACTCTGGATTCTGATAGAGGGCCATGAGACTTAAACCTGAGTGCAAAAATGGAGGCTCTAGACCCTTCCAGAGCTGAGATATCGAAACTCAAAATTTCGACCCGAAAAAAAAACGACAGTGTTACCCCTTTCGTTTTTTTGTTTTTTGGGCGAAAAATGAAGTTTCTCCAATCTTCTCAAAACTCTGGATTATGATAGAGGGCCATGAGACTTAAACCTGAATGCAAAAATGGAGGCTCTAGACCCTTCCAGAGCTGAGATATCTAAACTCAAAAATTCGACCCAAAAAAAAAACGACAGTGGTACCCCTTTTGTTTTTTTTTTTCGGGCGAAAAATGAAGTTTCTCCAATCTTCTCAAAACTCTGGATTATGATAGAGGGCCGCGAGACTTTGACCTGAGCGCAAAAATGGAGGCTCTAGACCCTTCCAGAGCTGAGATATCGAAACTCAAAATTTCGACCCAAAAAAAAAACGACAGTGTTACCCCTTACGTTTTTTTCATTTTTCGGGCGAAAAATCAAGTTTCTCCAATCTTCTCAAAACTCTGGATTATGATAGAGGGCCGCGAGACTTTGACCTGAGCGCAAAAATGGAGGCTCTAGACCCTTCCAGAGCTGAGATATCGAAACTCAAAATTTCGACCCGAAAAAAAAACGACAGTGTTACCCCTTACGTTTTTTCAGTTTTCGGGCGAAAAATCAAGTTTCTCCAATCTTCTCAAAACTCTGGATTATGATAGAGGGCCGCGAGACTTTGACCTGAGCGCAAAAATGGAGGCTCTAGACCCTTCCAGAGCTGAGATATCGAAACTCAAAATTTCGACCCGAAAAAAAAACGACAGTGTTACCCCTTACGTTTTTTTCAGTTTTCGGGCGAAAAATCAAGTTTCTCCAATCTTCTCAAAACTCTGGATTATGATAGAGGGCCGCGAGACTTTGACCTGAGCGCAAAAATGGAGGCTCTAGACCCTTCCAGAGCTGAGATATCGAAACTCAAAATTTCGACCCAAAAAAAAACGACAGTGTTACCCCTTACGTTTTTTTCAGTTTTCGGGCGAAAAATCAAGTTTCTCCAATCTTCTCAAAACTCTGGATTATGATAGAGGGCCGCGAGACTTTGACCTGAGCGCAAAAATGGAGGCTCTAGACCCTTCCAGAGCTGAGATATCGAAACTCAAAATTTCGACCCGAAAAAAAAAACGACAGTGTTACCCCTTACGTTTTTTTCAGTTTTCGGGCGAAAAATCAAGTTTCTCCAATCTTCTCAAAACTCTGGATTATGATAGAGGGCCGCGAGACTTTGACCTGAGCGCAAAAATGGAGGCTCTAGACCCTTCCAGAGCTGAGATATCGAAACTCAAAATTTCGACCCGAAAAAAAAACGACAGTGTTACCCCTTACGTTTTTTTTAGTTTTCGGGCGAAAAATCAAGTTTCTCCAATCTTCTCAAAACTCTGGATTATGATAGAGGGCCGCGAGACTTTGACCTGAGCGCAAAAATGGAGGCTCTAGACCCTTCCAGAGCTGAGATATCGAAACTCAAAATTTCGACCCGAAAAAAAAACGACAGTGTTACCCCTTACGTTTTTTTCAGTTTTCGGGCGAAAAATCAAGTTTCTCCAATCTTCTCAAAACTCTGGATTATGATAGAGGGCCGCGAGACTTTGACCTGAGCGCAAAAATGGAGGCTCTAGACCCTTCCAGAGCTGAGATATCGAAACTCAAAATTTCGACCCGAAAAAAAAACGACAGTGTTACCCCTTACGTTTTTTTCAGTTTTCGGGCGAAAAATCAAGTTTCTCCAATCTTCTCAAAACTCTGGATTATGATAGAGGGCCGCGAGACTTTGACCTGAGCGCAAAAATGGAGGCTCTAGACCCTTCCAGAGCTGAGATATCGAAACTCAAAATTTCGACCCGAAAAAAAAACGACAGTGTTACCCCTTACGTTTTTTTCAGTTTTCGGGCGAAAAATCAAGTTTCTCCAATCTTCTCAAAACTCTGGATTATGATAGAGGGCCGCGAGACTTTGACCTGAGCGCAAAAATGGAGGCTCTAGACCCTTCCAGAGCTGAGATATCGAAACTCAAAATTTCGACCCGAAAAAAAAACGACAGTGTTACCCCTTACGTTTTTTTCAGTTTTCGGGCGAAAAATCAAGTTTCTCCAATCTTCTCAAAACTCTGGATTATGATAGAGGGCCGCGAGACTTTGACCTGAGCGCAAAAATGGAGGCTCTAGACCCTTCCAGAGCTGAGATATCGAAACTCAAAATTTCGACCCGAAAAAAAAACGACAGTGTTACCCCTTACGTTTTTTTCAGTTTTCGGGCGAAAAATCAAGTTTCTCCAATCTTCTCAAAACTCTGGATTATGATAGAGGGCCGCGAGACTTTGACCTGAGCGCAAAAATGGAGGCTCTAGACCCTTCCAGAGCTGAGATATCGAAACTCAAAATTTCGACCCGAAAAAAAAACGACAGTGTTACCCCTTACGTTTTTTTTCAGTTTTCGGGCGAAAAATCAAGTTTCTCCAATCTTCTCAAAACTCTGGATTATGATAGAGGGCCGCGAGACTTTGACCTGAGTGCAAAAATGGAGGCTCTAGACCCTTCCAGAGCTGAGATATCGAAACTCAAAATTTCGACCCGAAAAAAAAACGACAGTGTTACCCCTTACGTTTTTTTCAGTTTTCGGGCGAAAAATCAAGTTTCTCCAATCTTCTCAAAACTCTGGATTATGATAGAGGGCCGCGAGACTTTGACCTGAGCGCAAAAATGGAGGCTCTAGACCCTTCCAGAGCTGAGATATCGAAACTCAAAATTTCGACCCGAAAAAAAAACGACAGTGTTACCCCTTACGTTTTTTTCAGTTTTCGGGCGAAAAATCAAGTTTCTCCAATCTTCTCAAAACTCTGGATTATGATAGAGGGCCGCGAGACTTTGACCTGAGCGCAAAAATGGAGGCTCTAGACCCTTCCAGAGCTGAGATATCGAAACTCAAAATTTCGACCCGAAAAAAAAACGACAGTGTTACCCCTTACGTTTTTTTCAGTTTTCGGGCGAAAAATCAAGTTTCTCCAATCTTCTCAAAACTCTGGATTATGATAGAGGGCCGCGAGACTTTGACCTGAGCGCAAAAATGGAGGCTCTAGACCCTTCCAGAGCTGAGATATCGAAACTCAAAATTTCGACCCGAAAAAAAAACGACAGTGTTACCCCTTACGTTTTTTTCAGTTTTCGGGCGAAAAATCAAGTTTCTCCAATCTTCTCAAAACTCTGGATTATGATAGAGGGCCGCGAGACTTTGACCTGAGCGCAAAAATGGAGGCTCTAGACCCTTCCAGAGCTGAGATATCGAAACTCAAAATTTCGACCCGAAAAAAAAACGACAGTGTTACCCCTTACGTTTTTTTCAGTTTTCGGGCGAAAAATCAAGTTTCTCCAATCTTCTCAAAACTCTGGATTATGATAGAGGGCCGCGAGACTTTGACCTGAGCGCAAAAATGGAGGCTCTAGACCCTTCCAGAGCTGAGATATCGAAACTCAAAATTTCGACCCGAAAAAAAAACGACAGTGTTACCCCTTACGTTTTTTTCAGTTTTCGGGCGAAAAATCAAGTTTCTCCAATCTTCTCAAAACTCTGGATTATGATAGAGGGCCGCGAGACTTTGACCTGAGCGCAAAAATGGAGGCTCTAGACCCTTCCAGAGCTGAGATATCGAAACTCAAAATTTCGACCCGAAAAAAAAACGACAGTGTTACCCCTTACGTTTTTTTTTTTCGGGCGAAAAATCAAGTTTCTCCAATCTTCTCAAAACTCTGGATTATGATAGAGGGCCGCGAGACTTTGACCTGAGCGCAAAAATGGAGGCTCTAGACCCTTCCAGAGCTGAGATATCGAAACTCAAAATTTCGACCCGAAAAAAAAAACGACAGTGTTACCCCTTACGTTTTTTTCAGTTTTCGGGCGAAAAATCAAGTTTCTCCAATCTTCTCAAAACTCTGGATTATGATAGAGGGCCGCGAGACTTTGACCTGAGCGCAAAAATGGAGGCTCTAGACCCTTCCAGAGCTGAGATATCGAAACTC